CACTCATTTCTAAATAATTCCAAGCTGGTGCCGCACCAGTTCTGAGAACACATTAAGCTAGTTCCAAGTTAGCCCTGACATTCACTTACCAATCATCGCTGGTTAAGCAAGAAATAATTCGTCATTGAAAACAGCAGTTGTGAAATAAATAGTTTCACCATTGTAAGCGTAAACTAATCTTACTTACTGAAAGCAGTTATGAAAATCAAAGAGGGAAATCTCAATAAATTAAGTATCGCAACCTTTTGCCCAAAACAATAAAAAATGCACGAAAAATTACTAATGAGTTTTAGCTTCTTTTCATTATTTAATATTTTCATTTTCAACAAATATAAGTATAAGAAGTCAATTCCTGTTTCAACACGCGGCAATCTTAGAATTTTTCACCGACCGGTTTTATGATTAATTCGTGAATCTAGAAAGGAATAACAAAACATGAATTTTTCACTATACACCCAGACCCAATATGCGGGATGACAAACCTGCACGTGCGGTGGCGTCTGTAAGCAATAGATCAACGCATCAGCGATATCTTCGGATGCCAAATATACCATATCTGATATTAAAATCGGATTTTCGATCACAGCATTGGTTTGCACTGCGCCAGGACTAATGCTCTATACGAAAAATCAAATGAAATGTAAACAATAATTACTTTACATCCGATGTAATGCACACAACTTACGGTAATCTTAATTTTAGTGTTATTATTAAGAAGCTCCTGGCGGTAGATTTCCGTCATAACGGTGACGGCATGCTTTGAAGGTGGATAAATATTGGGTGACATATTCGGTATATTTGGTATCCCATGCCCAGATATGCTATTGATGAGGAAGATATGACCATCAGGACCCTGAGTCTTCATCGAACGGAAAGCCTCCCGTGTGCTCCACACAATACCATAGACATTTGTATCCATCACATCGCGYATATCYTGTGAGTTGCCTTCTTTCAACAARTCGCTACGACGCAAAATGCCGGCATTGTTTACTAGCACCGCCACTGGTCCATACTTGSTTTCGATCTCTTTGAAGGCGGCTATCACATCAGCTTCATCTCGTACATCGCATTTAATCGCGTGTATGCGTTGYTTTGCCATRTCTTTCACTTCATYGCGCAGGGCTTCGATACGTTCTTTRYGTCGYGCCAARCCGACAGTCACCATACCGTTATTAGCGAGATATTTCACAATAGCCGCACCAATGCCTGCACCTGCGCCAGTGACTACAGCAACACGATTCTGCCAGCGTTCCATTTCTATGACTTTTTGCGTATTAACTATTTAGAACCGTTCTGTACGGTTATTAAGTTGTGCTAGACTGACTGCTGTACAGTGCACATGTGCATTTTTTATAAAATCGATTGGCCCTTTGTATGCCCTATGTCAATATGTTATCACATGTAAACATCTTAACCTATGTAAGTAGATATGTTTGTATTGTTTTACAAGTATATTTGATKTGTTGAGTGCATGCCTACTGCATATAAATGCATATATATTACTGACTCGGCCTTATCTAAAATGAATGTACTGTATAATTAATTAATAGGTATTATAAGAATAATTTTAAAACTAAGTATTCTGCTCCACACCGATTAAGTGGCACACCTTGCCACCAACGCATATGCTCATTTTTAAACAATCAGCCGAGCCACGAAAGTGACTGCTGGAAAGGTGACCACGGCTTGRGATCATGACACGTTCGTCAACTAAGTGACGTTTACGACAAATTTTTATCTTCCTGGGTAGTTGTTTATATTTAGTATTATTTATTACAAGTATACCCTGTTGCTTTCACCACATTCTCACCGGACGACGGTGAGCTTGATTTTATGCTGCTTTTTTATCTTTGTATTATCCTCTGCTCTAATTCCGTCCTTAATTACTTGCTGTGTCTTCGCTTTTGGTTCCAGTGTTGCTGCGGCCTTTGACTTACGTTTATCTTGTCTACCTCCAGCACCACTTTGAAAATGTTWACTTTTGGTTGTGGTACCATCTTCTGCTGTCATAGGTCCATCATCAGCGTCTTTCATTTTAATGGCGTCATTTGGCTCTTCGTCAATCGGGTTAGGATCAAGGGTTGTATCTGTGAGAAGAGCCTCCCTAATTTTTCCCAATATGAAGACTCTGTGGGAAAAAGTAAATAAGTACCATAAAATAAGCTTGAGGTCTTCTCTTTCCGTGGTTGTTGCAGTCGCTCGTTTGCGTGCTCTTCCCATGTGTCATCATCTTCGACAAGATCTTTTTCCGCACCTTTTTTATCCTCCAAACTACACCAAATCCTAATATGATATTCATATCGTACAAAGAGGTCTGAACTAGCGAATGCTGAAAGCAAAAGTAAAAGTAACGTGCAGTGCAATTTTGCTGATATTTCACTCACCAAAATGAACTGAGCATGCTCACAAAATTTCGCATATATTATAGTATGCACAGTTATCTTATCACCCTGAGGCATTAAGTGCATTAAGAACTTAATAATACAAAATGTAAATRTCATAATTATATCGGAGACAATCTTTGACTGCATTTTCTGTAAACATGTGCAATACGTAGCGATATACTGGGTGATCCTTTTCGTGTTTCCCAACTTTTTTGAAGAAAAGACACGGAAACTTCATCTCAGCTGGTCCATCCGTTAAGTCCAATTTTCGCTGACTCGACATTTCGACTGGCGAATGACCATTTAGACCATTCACGGTCACGTTCACAACGGCACCATTTTTGTWGAAATATGGATCGATCATTGCACCGACTTACAAACTACACCAAACCGTTGTTTTTTCTGTATGAAATGTCATCTCTTGAATCTCTTCAGATAGCTCTTCATCCCAAATACGGCAATTTTGGTTTTTTATAAAAACATTGAACCAAAAATGGGCCTCATCGCTGAACAAAATTTGGATCGAAAACTTTAGATCTTCTTGGAACTTTTCAAGAGCTCACAGAGCAAAGCGATGTCGCTTAGGAAGGTCGAGTAGATTCTGTTCTTATACCAACAGTATTTGGTATATACAAGTATACTGCTATATATATAGTTATATGCCTTCAGTTGGAAAAAATTTGTTCCATAAACATTCTTTCTAAGCCAGGAACATTGTTTTGGTCTTAATTATTTTCTAATAGGCTTTCATAACTTATTGTCTTGAAACCGGTTCAAAAGCTCCTTAAATAAGGTGAGGTATGCTTTTTGTTAAGTACTTTGGGTAGGCCTTGATGGTAGCCACTTCAGTTTTAACCCCAAAAATACAGGGCTACATATATAAATTGYTCCTCTATATCTCCATTATTGCTCAATAGAGTCATAGATTCGCACGATTTTTAATATTGGTACTAAGTAAAAGTAAAGTAAGTAAGTAAAAGGGAGAGTAAGGTAAACTTTTGGCGATCCGAAATAAAACTTTAAGAAATTAAAGAAGTTTCGGCAGTGCTTGTAAAACGGTCAATACTATTCAGAAAGTATTTTTTGATATTGATTGGCATACAAAGAAAAATTTGTAATTTTTCAATTAATTTTAAGTATTTAATGCCTACTTTTAGGCTTCAAATAATACTAACATTGGGGAACCTTTAAAAGCAGCCGAAATTAAAATGCCTTGCCAGCAAATATCTARTTTTCTTCCTTTAATCTTTTTTCTCTTCTAAATCTCACACAGTGTTGATATGTATGCTGCACATAGTTTATTCAACTCAAAAAATATACTTTTTCYACAAACAGTAAATCATCAGCACGTGATTAAAACCGCTTCCGTGAGCTTAGAAGCAATGCGTGTAGAGATCAAAATAAAATATTTCTAATAAATGACTTTCTCCCCACGCTATTCGTCTTAGATCTCTTTGTTATATCCTTTTCAAATATTTTTGCCAATACGCTCAAAGACAAACAGTTTGCTACATAAAAAATTAATCAGTTAATACAAATACTTTGCTCAGCTTCGGCGTAGATTATTTCACAAATAAAAATGGATGAAAAACAAAATAAAAAGAATCAAAGAGAAATAATAAATATGAATATCCTTCATTGCTTCTGTGCAAATRTGTAACTAAGGTGCACCACTACGTTGGCCTACTAATCCATGGATTAAAGCAAGTGTCACGCCTACTCATGCTATGCYGCGCAGAGAGTAAAAATGTGATTCATGTTTGTCATATTCTCTTTATGTTTTATGCTTTGCTTTGACACACATTTAGTTGATTTGTTTGTTTACAATTACTGATGTTAAATTATGRACTACACTAGATAATATAAATACGGTATGAGTTGCGGGCTTATGTGGAAGGATTAAGCTGATAACTTGGGTCAGCTTATGTCAAAGAAAACTCAATTTTAACGCATTAAATACATATATTTATTTTAAGCAGCTTAGCAGAAAATTAAAAARAAAWTTTTCGATAAATTTTTTTGCCTACCTTTAGGCTGCAAAACATATGTATGGAAAAATTCAACAAAATTGCCGAAAATTTGGTTTTTTAATTAAACTTGCTTTAAATTAGATATTACAACTGATTTCACAAATCACGAAATATTTTCGGTTAATTTTACTGAGTGTGAAATACTTACCGATATTTGCAGTATAAAGTGTCGATTTATCTTGTTGCCTACCTTTAGGCAGCAAAAAAGAATTTAAGGGAAAAATTCCAAAAATATGCAAAATAAAATTGAGTATTTATTTAAACTTGCTTTAGAATCGATTTCACATATCAAGATAAAGAGCTGGAAACTGTATTATTTAAGGGTGCTTAGTTGAGTAATTCAAGGCCTGATATCACACGATCCCATAACTGGAAATCTATCACTCTCAGTTGTAGAAAAATTATGCCCAAAAATTAAAAAAAAAAAAAAATTCAATTAATACAACTGATATCTACGCCTAAGTTCAACCCATTGCTCCACTTCATCAAAACGGAATTACAGTGAACAATTATTTCTTGCAGGCGAAACAAAACATCCAATATTACTTTTCTCATCAAACTCGACGGCAAAATGCCTGAGTGATTTGTGAATATTTCTTTCTTGAGTGYAAAATGACGCCTAGCAACTAACCGCAACTACAGAGCCAAGACTTCAAAGACCGCAAGCAGTTGCTACAWTTTCTGCACCAAAAAGTTCTACGTCTTCTCCGCCGCCTTGCCGCACACAGTTTTAACCGTAACTTCCAACCGTTCCGGCGGCAGTCGASAGCAATGATGCTGGCCTGAGGTATTGAGTGAACGACTTGTGTATTTAGTAGATATGTGTATGTATATGTATTTGAAGCGGCTATTCTGCTGGGATTATTACGGTGTATGTATTTCTGTGTGCTTGAAATATTTCTGTGGCAATTGATGATTTGAAACGAATCAAACGAGTTGTGGCATAGAATTTTAAATGAACTACTGCCACAACGATACTTCGAACATTGTGTTGCCGCGTTTTAGGCGCTCAAGGCAGTACGCTGGACGCCACACGATAGACACTAAATAGACACTAGGCGCGCTTAACGCATAGCGAATTGTGTTTTGCGTTTGGAGTATTGARAAGTGTATCAATTTGAGTAGACGATATCGTCAGTTTCGTTACAGATGCGCTTCGCCGCTGTGGCTAATCAATGCGATGTATGCGAGCGGCTAAGAAGTGGCATAAAATCGACCAAGGAAGGGCATAAAATATTGGAGAATGACGAGCAAAAGCATAATTGGCGATTATTCAACAGAGGAATGATAAATTTTATCTTTAAGTTGAAGTACGCAAGTAATATGTGCGCATAAATTTAAGMTGTTGTAGGTAAGCATTTTGTAGACTGTTTCGGTGGATTGAGAAAGATTTTATTGCGTRAAAGAGTGACATTTTATGCAATTATTTGTGGAAGAAATATTACCTTTGTTTTAGAAAGATGCCCCTGTAGAAACGCCTGAGTACACAACTAAAGTGATCCCAGTTGTGATAGCTCTGCCACGGACAGCGCTTGAGGAAGTATTCGATAACATTTGGATCAGTTTCTAGASTTTATATTTCTTTAGTTAACTCTTAAGCAGTTTTTATATAACGGAGCTAAGACCCTTTGGTAAATTGGTTTAGTCAGAGTACCCTTTAACAAATCGCTAACCCAGCGTTAAAATGATAATCCAAGACTACGTAAATAGGTAGGCAGGTCTCACGAGGCACCTAACCTTTAAGCAGGTTAATTGTGCTAACTAAAGATCCTCACATTATTGACTCCTCTCTATATCATACCGTGATAAAGTTCATCAGCGTAAAAAGTTGTGTCACAGCAACCTCCTAGAAATGATCCAGAGATATCGGTCCAAAAAAATATCAGTGTTTCTTTTAGTATGGCTAGCAGGGTAATATCCCATCACCGAAAAGATTCGAGGC